TATTCATTGCATGCGAACAAAGATTCACACTCAAAATGATTTGTTACTATTAACATATAATTATCAATAACATATTTGAGAACATATGTGCAACAAAACCATGCTTGTAACATTTCAGGAAAGTATGTAGAAAAAAAAAATCCCCAAACATACAAAAGAAAAATACATACATTCAAAAAAAGTAAGAAGGCTCATGGCAGTACCAACCCCTCCCCCTAATCTGTCATGTTGTATTAGGCTACAATGATCTTGTTCTTGAATTCAAAATTCCTATATATATATATATCACACACACATACAGAAAATACTTATTTTCTCCTTTCAACACAGTTAAAACTTTCAGCAAGGAGCTTTAAGTTTTTATCAACTATATCTAAATCCTACTCTCCAAAAAACCAAATGCCTTCTTACATTAAAATAATAATAATAATAATTTTTTCTTCTAAATTTACATGTCCAAATTGCACTACATTACTCAATATTAAAACAAACCCTTCAAGGATAAACTGTTTTAATTGGCAGTTGTTATGGGCTACATGATCAGATAGATAGTGTCAGTGAATAACTGTATAGTGGGATTGGGGTTGTCTCTTACAACTGTTGCAATAATTATGGGAGATTTCAGTTTCAGGTATACTGAATAGGATTGTATGGCATCAAGCAGTGAGGAAAACAGGTTTTTTTCAAGTGATTCAGGATGGTTTTCCATCGATCAGAGGGCCAAATAGAAAGGATATGGTTAGAAGAACTGAAATGGGATAACAATTATAGAAGTGATCATATTGCATAATTAGGTTTGATGTTTTGCTACATGTTGAGATTAAAATGTATGAAATTTTAGTATCCAATTTTCAGAAAGCCAATTTCTAAACCATGAGAAGATTTATCATAAGCAAATTTGGATGAGTTAAAAGGTGACATGGAAAACATAAAGTGTTTATACATAAATTGTGTTTAATTCAAGATAAACCATATTACTAAAATTGAATTGTTGGAAAGGGTTCAGAGGAAGGTTACTAAAATGATGCCTGGGATGGAGAGGCTGTCATATGATGACATTCTAAGATCTCTGAAATTGTTTTATCTTGAAAAAAGAAGAGATAGAGTGGATCTGACTGAGGTGTTTAAGATTATAAAGGGAATTTATAGTATTGATGCATCATCTTTTGTCATACTTAACAGCGAGAATAGAAGGACTAGTGGGTTGCAGATGTAAATTTTAGCAAGGTAGGAGTCATCTTCAGCTAAGACAGTTTTATTTTTAACATAACGTTTTGGGGCAACATGGGACCCATTGGTCCATCTCGGCTGTTCCATCCTCTAAACTAAATTAATATGATTGAAAAAAAAAAACTCTTAAAGCCAGCCCTTATCATTTTTATACTTATCAAGCTTTTTCTTAAACTCACTGACTCTACAACTTTCGAAGGCAACCCATTCCAAAGGCTAACCACTTTGTCAGAAAAATCAAACTATCTTAGTTGAAGATGACTCCTACCTTGCCAAGATATATATTTGTGTCCCCTAGTCCTACTATTCTCACTGTTAAATATGAAAAAAGATGATGCATCAACACTATCAATTCCCTATACAATCTTAAACACCTCAATCAGATCCCCCCTAACTCTTCTTTTTGCAAGAGAAAGCAATTTGAGAGATTTCAGCCTCTCCTCATATGACAACCCCTCCATCCCAGGCACCATTCTAGTAACCCTTCTCTGAACCCTTTTCAACAATTTAATGTCTTTTCTAAGGTAAGGAGCCCAAGATAGAATGCAATATTCCAAATGTGGCCTAATCAGTGACCTGTACAATGAAATTATAACCTTTTTAGACTTGTATTCAATATTTCTGTAGATACAACCTAAAATCCTATTTGCCCAACCACTAGCAACAGCAACACTGCTTGCATGGCTTTATAGACTGATCAGATATTACACCAAGATCCCTTTCCTTCATAACACAGTTAAGGTTATTCCCATCCAAATTATACTTATAATTCAAATTAGGATAACTCACATACATTATCTTGCATTTATTATAATTAAAACCCATCTGCCATTTATTTGCCCAACTCACTAAATGATCTAAATCCTTTTGTAAACCAGCAGCATCCTCTTCACATCTGGCAACATCCAAGACTTTAGTATCATCTGCAAAAGTAATTTATTGACTATTCCTTCATCTATGTCATTGATGTAAATCAAAAAGAGGCAAAGATCCTAAGACTGAGCCCTGAGGTACCCCACTTGTGATATTAATCCAGTTTGACTGAACTCCATTTGTAACAACTCTCTGCTTTCTTCCATCCAGCCACTCTTCTATCCAATTTGCTAACTTATCCCCCACATCTACAGAGAGAATTTTTTTTACAACAGGGTGGTTGGCTTCTGGAATAGGTTGCCTTTGGATGTTGTGAAGGCAGTAAATTTAAGTGAGTTTAAGAGAAAGCTTGATAATTAATTATATGAATGATAAGTTTTTTTTATTTATTTATTTAATAATTTTAGCTTACTTTAGAGGATGGGACAGCCGTGATAGACCAATAGGTCCCTTGTTGTCCTTAAACATTATGTTATGTTAAATACGTGTAAAACATAACAGAGAAGATCAAACCTAAATGACCTAAAGGAGAAAATCAAGGATAAATGCTATAAGCATAAAAGGTTTAATCTGACAGATAGAAGGCTTACAGAACTATGTAGGAAAGCTAAGGATTTGTTAAAAAAAAATAGAAAATTCAAAAAGGCTTATGAAAAACAGTTGGCTGACATTGTTAACACTAATAAAAGAATTTTTTAAGCATGTAAAAGGTAGGCAAAATTTTGAAACTGTGATTTAGCTCTTAAAAGATATCAATGGTAAGGATTATGTTGAAGACTATGAGGTAGCACAACTTGTAATTGTTTCATTTTTCTCTTTATACAAGATATTGCTAATTTTCATAACCTTCAGCCTTCTATGGGAAACATTGCGATTGACTTCAATCATGTAGATATTCATCTATTAATGGTTAGTAGAGTTGGATGTTTAATGGAATTTGATAAAAAAAAAAATAATCATCCGACAGGAGACTTAGATAGTTGGAATAATCTAATATAGTTATGAAACAAACACTAGTTGCAATAACTTTATTATTTTCTTGGCATTGGTTATTTTACCCGAGACTAGTTGGTATAATCAATGCTCATGGGCAATCAATTAATCAAGTTAATTGCACAGCTCTAGTTATTAGTAGAATGATTAAAAGATAAAAAAAAAAAAAAGAGGACCAGAAAATGTTTCCTCAGGGTTTTAAATGCCAAGCTAAGACATGTAAGCATGTCTCTTTCATTATTTTACAGATCAAGAGACATCAGGCAACTGCCTGAAATTATTAATATTACTCTTATTTCTAAATGGTTGATAAGAGTTGCCGTGGAAATTACAGGCCAGTTAGCCTAACTTCTGTGGTGTGAAAAATTAGTCTAATAAAAAACCTTTGAAAAATCATCTAGTGAAATATGATACCTTAAAAGAAATTCAACATAGATTCACCAAAGGAATATCTACCCTTAATAATCTTTTAATTTTTTGAGGATGTTACTTGTTATCTGGATGATAAGAAGTGCATGGACTTGGTGTATTAGATTTTCAAAAGTTTTTAAGGTGCCACACAGAAGATTAGCTAAGGAAATCACATCAGTGCAGGTTGAGGAAAAATAATTATAAATTGATTTTTAAGATAACAGATGTGAGAAAACAAAAGTTGTTACTCATGGAATTCAGTCATACTAAATATTTGCTACAAATGGGGTGTCTCAGAGGACAGTGCTTTGTTCTCTAATTACAGTAACGATATTGATAAGGGCATCATTTGTAAATTAGAAAAGTCTGTAAATGATATTAAACTTAGGTATTTCAATAATATTGAATTAGTAAAGAATAACTTGTATCAAATAGTTGGACAAATATTTGGTGACAAATACTGAATACAAGATAATGCATTTTGGTTATCATAAGTTAGATCACACATTTAATATAGATGGTAACCCACTCAATAGCACAACTAAAAAAATTGATCTTTGCATGATGATGGATAAGTCACTCAAACTGTTGTGGCATTACTAGAAACAAAGGTAATAGAATTTTAGAGTATATTTATAGGCACTGGTTGAGAGGTAATTATATCTTCATAGAAACCACTACCGAGATTTCACTGAGAATATTATGTAAAGTTTTAGTCTACTTATCTATGATGCTACGATAATGACCTACTGGAAAGGGTTCAGAAGAGAGCTACTAGGATTATGCTGGAAATGGAAACGTTATCTCATGGTGATTGGTTAAGATTTCAACTTATTTCCTACTGAGAAAAGAAGGGTAAGAGGTGATTATTTGAAAGTTTATAACATTAATAAGGGGAACAATAAAAGCCTCCAATTTCTTTGTTCTATGTTCTTACGACAATAGGAGAGGCCACAAGTTTAAGATTTGGAAAAGATAGCCTAGGCTCCAGTTAAAATAGATTCATTTTTATAATAGGGTGATTAGCTTATGGAACGAGGTGCCATCGACAGAAGTAGAGGTGACACTATGAAAGAATTTAATAAGAGGGGAATTAATGATATCCTGAAAAATAAAGGATGATTTTAAATATGTGCTTTTCTCAAGTGTGGGTGTGCATGATTATTGCTTCAGTATCCTCATTTGTAACAACTCTAATGTCATTATACAATCTCTTACTGACATCACCTGTATCAGTGTATGGGCAGATGGCCTATATCAACTGCCAATTAAAAACTCTACATCTCACACCTCTAACAGTAACCCATTAACGATTCTACCTCTTAACTAGCATTTCATGTCTCCAGTTCAAACAAGCTGTATCTCATCCCTTACAAGTTATATACATTCCCACTCTACCCTTCTTTTAAAGTACTGTTAAATAACTTGTAATCTGGAAATTGTAATTTAAAAATAATTAATATTATCAATGTTTTTCAGATCTAAGTTCTGACCACTTTTCACTTTCAGTGATTTCCAATACATCATATTCATACTACGAGTATGATTCATAGCCTTCTATATTGACTAAAAATATAATTTAGAAACTGGTATTCATGAACTCATCCATCTTGTTCGTAATCCTCGCATAATACTGAATCTACTATGTTTATCTTTAGTTTTAACGGACTGATTCCGTTTCTAATTATGGAGTGGGACGACGTTTCCACACCGAAGCCTTATTGGATCAGATCCAATGCGAAGGCTTCTGCATTAACTATATGTATAGAGCTTGTCCCACTCTAGCTCTGCCTGCTGTTCACGCCGATTACTATAATATATTTTACTATATCTTTAATTTCGGGTTAAACTTCAAAATCGTTTACAATTTACAAGGCATATCATATTTCTAGTCAATACGGTAGGCACAGAAAAATTGTTAAACAGTAGTAACGGAAAGTGGTTATAACTAACAATTCTTACAAACAACCTTCTACATCATTGCCAGATGGAGTAGTGAGGTTATGAAAACACTGAAAATTTAACAGTACATTTTAAGTTTTAATAGACTAATTTTAATATTAGAATTGAATCCTCTTACACATTAAAAATAATAAAATTGTATATAAAATTGGTAATAAACCATAACATCTGACAATGTATACATAAACATTACAAAATATTTTGAAAACTTTAATTTATAAAACTAGTTCACTTAGTGAATAAAATGAC